AGGGTTGTCGGGGAATAGCCACGTCAGCAAGCGCAATGCAATCGTGATGTTAATAACGGTAATAGCAATGCATAGCAATGGTATTCAACTGAAGGTGGGTTTGAAAGGTGGGGATGGCAGCAAGGAGGGAACAAGGGAAGAAAGGCATGGTCCAGCTTTCCAGTTGCGTCACTGCGTCTCAACGCCGCGAGGGAGGAGATTCTCCCATCGCTGCAGTGCGTGTCCATTGGACCCACCATCACCTGGCCGACTCACATCCACAGTCACATCCAGGTGACGAAGCAAGGCGAGTCGAGGCGCGAGAAAAGGTCAACTCGCACCCCGACCATCCCCACCCATGGCTGAGTGAGCGGTACAGAATTAAAAACAACTGAATTTTGGACCAGCTGCACCGCGCCTAGAAGTGTGTTGACGCAAGAACGGAAGCAATGACCCTCCACGGGCGCCAAAACATGGGGAGAATCAAAAATAAATACGTGCAAATCCAAAGCACCAGCCGCTGCTGGAGGTAGGGGAGCCCCCCCTCGTTAGGACAGTCTGATGCCTCAGCAATAATACTGTTGCTGCTTCCCATGCATTCGGCGGCACAGCTGCCTACTTGTTAATCGACTCGCTGACTGACCCAGTCATTGGGACGAACCCAGCCCAGGTGCACAAACGCACGTCCTTACTTCACAGGTTTCAGTACTGCTCTGGTGTATGAGGTGAAGGCGGCATCGTGGGCGTGCCGTCGCCATGTGCTTGGCCTTGAAACTCGCTTTTCCCCCTCCTTTCCCCTCTCCCCCCAGCATCTCCAACCGAATCGGCCAACCCGAAGCATCACCGACGCCATCGCCCACAGTTGTGTGTTTACCACCATGGCCCTTGCCACCATATTCCAGTATGGTTGCATGGATACAGAGCCAGCGCATACAACAGGTCCTCCTACGTTTCTGGCTGATGGAGGCCCTGGACGTATCGAAACGCGGGCCTCAATATGTAGGCCAGCACGCCGCGCTTTCTTTGGTGTACAAATGCCAACCTGGTACCTCAGTAACCAGCCTCCTCATGAACAGAATCATTTCTATGAACATAAATATCGTAGCAAGGCAAACTCGATGTGAGGGTTTCGGTTGACCGTCAGGACTGGGGGGGGGATCGGTCGTTGGGCGTTTCGTTTTTAATAACTGCGTGGTGGTGCGCGTCGCGGCGCTACGGCGCTTGCCGCCCTCTTACACCTAATTACGTCTGGGCCAGAGGTCCAGAACCTACCACAGGTGCTGGGGCTGCTGGCTCCTGAGTTACCGATGCCGTCGCTGGTGCGCTGGGTTGCACTGCGATGCTCGGGTCCTTCCCATTCTGGCTAGCATTGCAACCGGCCGATGGTTCCGATGTGATGACCTGTGCAGTAAGCGAAACAAGTTATGGTCTTGTGACGTGACTGAGTCAGCGGAGAGTCCCCTGGCGCACCTCAGTTGGCGTATTGTCCGCGGCTTTGCATGCCACCCGCCGACAACAGCGATCAGCGATATAGAACTGTAGCGATAGCGTGTGATGCATAGGCCTGTGAAGCGTATTGATCGCGGCGATTGAAGCGCGCAAACGCAACCCCTGCCAATCCTACTGAACATACCTAGCGCGAATTTTACCCCGAGATGCCTGACCTAGAACCAAACCTCGGCGGCTTAGCAAGGTAGACATGGCTCCAGCAGTTCGTCGCAATCAACTGGTGCCGGGAGTCAATTAACACGTGAACTCCACAAGTTGAGTACGCTACAACTTAAAAGATCCTTTAGTAAATCTGCGAATCTCTTAACGATGTGCAAACTCAGGAGGACCGATCACCGTTGGAGGTTTTGTTCACCTTTAGGAGCGCCGACGCACATTGCCGTGCAATTGTATCAAAGGCGCATGCTCACCAATTAATGCAAGAGTACTCGAGGAGCCGAAGATAACACATGGACTCCTTTTAAATTGAAACATTTATCGACGTCCAACTGCTGGCCTTTTTCAGGCCCTACCTCCGGATTTAATGCTCCAAATAATAGTCCCAGAAAATTGAAACAAGAATAAGCACAGTCGTCAGTTCTGACGAAATGCACCAAGACGTGGGCTTAATTGCCAACTAACAAATCCTCGCCACAATTACACACACTCACCTATACACACAACACCCCCAGGTCATTGTCTAGAGACGACTTCCACCATAACGTCAGCATGCGGCAACCAGACAAAAATGAAAAACATGAGTGCCTTTCGCTCAACATCTTGTCCTCAGCAAAACACACTTCTCGGCAGCGTGTCCTGTATATTTTCCATGTCTTCCCGAATTGTAATCAAAATCCTACACGTCCAGTCGAAGCGCCGCAACCCATACCCACCTAAGCCGGACCCATCGCGTTTCAATCCCGTTTTCCCCTATGGCGCATGGCGCAGCCTACATATCCGCCTCAGTTTACGTATATCCATCTCCTTACTTCTACCCCTTTCCCTGTACTTGGCTTCCCTTATCGCCCTCAGCCGCGCTCCTTGCAAGCGATGTCCACGACTGCCTCTCATGAGTCGGCCATTACCGTTAACCATTAATTAACCACGCCGCGAACCATGCACATCACAGGTGACGCCCAGGATCTGCGACGACAGTATCGCCCAAGGCGAAACGCAGCGTTCGCTGGCTGCTGGTCCGCGAGGTGTATTGCGCAGGGCTGTTCACCTCCCCCTCCAGCATGAAACAAGAGGATCCCATCCTAAGACGGTGAAAGGGTCTTCAAGCAGTCACCTTAGCAGATGATACACCCGCAGCCTTTCTGTTCCTGCTTCTGCGGCGTTTGTGTCCCTGCGTGCCAGGCCGCGGACCAACTTAGCGTGCAGACTATTTTACTGCACTGAGGCCATCTCAAGCGCACCATAAATGCCTAAGCTTCTGAGTAAAACAGTCCGCTGCACGATAACCGACGGGTGCGACCCCCATGCAAAGCACGCACCTTGTTGCTTTGTCGGCGCTGGCTGCGGTCGGATATGTACTAACATCGTCACCACAGTATCCGGCTTCACCTCTCCCATATCACGCTTGTACTCTGCAAGGGTGCCAGTCGTCACGACTCAAAGAGAGCAGACTGGGTTAAAACGGAAGCGAATGTACCCGAAAGCACCTTTAAGCTGCTTTGCACTGTCCAAAAATTTGCCAGATATGATGAGGCGCACATCAGCAGGCTGACTGGGCGGCTCCTTTGACCACAGGCCATCTGCGGACATGGTGCCAAGCGAGGACTTTAACCCGCGGCAAGCTTCAAATTCTTAAACATATACGATTAAGCATCTCTGCACCTTTCGGCCACTCTGCGAATACCTTGTCCTTCAGCACCTGCACGCTGGATGCTTCTGAGAAAGCAAACGGGCCTAGGTCACCAGCGGCGTGTCTAAATCTAACGTTAATGGACTCTCCCTCATCCATTCTTCTTCCCGTTAGCTACTTCTATTGAAAGCACTAAGGAAGCAACATTATAAAGCAAGGCAACTCCTTTGCCAAGTTGTCCACATCTAGATTACCCTATACTTATGAGCAGGATATCAAGTTTGGAAGGAAACCAGAAGGCAGGTGTGCAGCGAACACCAAGCTTCCCTGCCTGTTTGCTCGTACTCGCTTGGCAGTCAAGCTGGTTGATGTGAGCATGTGACGAACCAGCAAAGAGTGAGGTTTCAGACAGTATACATATATTACTTTCTGAATCACGGTCTTTTACCAAATCTGGGAAAAGCCAGACAGGGATACATAGTGTCAATTTAGGACCTCTCCAACTTGCGCCGACGTTGCTGAGTATTTGTGCTGCTATTTTCATGACCCCGGCGACGCAATCAGCGGGTGCTGCTCCCGGAGGGTTGGGCGAGCCTCAGGTCGACTTCAACGATGTCTTTTCGCTCAGGAGGCCCCGGGACGCACGAGCAGGCTTGGCAAGCGGTTTGAAGAGCATTGCCAAGGGTGTTCTCGGTGGAGCTGCTGGGCTCGTTGCAGCTCCCATCGTGGGTGCACGAAGCGAAGGTCTCGCCGGTTTCGCGAAGGGCCTCACACAAGGTATGCAGGGAGTATAACTTATGTTTCAATTTAAACCCTTCCATTCAATCCTCCATAGTCACCACCTACCGAATGTCCTTTACACAGGTTCTCGTGCTTTCTCGCGTTCCGTCATGTTCTCGCACCTCCTGCTCTAGCTACCCCACATCGGATCTGCCCGCAGCCAGCCGCGCACCCCCCTTCCTCCACCCAACTCCTTCCCCCCGAGGCCTTTCCCGTGCACAGGTGTCATCGGGGCCGTCGTATTGCCGGTCACAGGCGTGGGTGTGGGCACGGTTCAATTCGTACGGGGCGTCATCAACACACCGGAAGCCGTGGTGCAGGCCCAGAACGGAAAACTATGGGACGAGGTACGAACATGCTGTACATCATCGGGAATTCCTGCATGCGCCTTACCCTTGATGCCGCGCAATAAGGGCGATTTCCGTTACATGAAGGAGAGCCAGTCTCCCTCGGTGACTCGGCAAATGCTGCTAGGAAAGAGAGAAACAGAAGGGAAGAGAGCCAGACTAGGAAATAACAGCTAGAAGAAGATTAGTAGACGGTCTTAGATAGATTTGGACAAAGACGCAGGCAGGAGTGGGATTAGGATTGGAGTTGGGATTACCGAGGGGTCTTAAGTCGATTGCCGCCCGCGTGTCCGGCAGCCAGCCTTAGCCGCATTCGTGTGTTTCCGTCCGTGTTTGTGCGGCGTGTTTTCTGTGCTACGTAGGTCCCCACGTCCTCCTTTCCCTTCCCTCCCTTCCCTCCCTCGGTCAGTTCTACGTTTGGTACACTCTTGCCCTCGCAGCAGCTTCACTCGTGTGTGGTTCGTCTTTCCCTTCCCTCCCGCCCGCCCGCCCGCCAAGTGCACGGACAAAAGGCAACCGCATGCGCTCGTACATGAACACTTAAAAACATACACTTCATACAAGTCTGTGTGCAATGCCGCAACCCCGCTGGTTCACTTCCCCCACGGGCGCACATGCACGGAACGCCTTTAATCATCCGTATTTCCGTACTTCTTCCGTACGCTTGGGCCGATAGGCGTCTTCTGAGATAAAGGCTGATTTCGTTTCGCTGGGGGGTGTTGGCTGGTGTGAAACCCAAATCAGTCTAAGCCCCCTAGTCGGTCTGGGGGTCTCGGGGTCGGTCTCGGTCTCGGGGTCGCAGTCTTCGGTCTTCAAGTCTTCCAGGTCCTCTACATTCCGCCGCCATCAGACGTCGGGGGAAGAGTCGCGTCGTTACGATCCCCACATAAGGCCTCCCCCTGCTTTCTCCTCCCTCTTCCGCCCGGCTTCGGGTCGATGTAACTTCTTCATCGCTTAGGACTCGCTCGCTCACTGGGGCCAGTTTTGGACCTATTGGACGCCTTTTTCCGGCAGTTCATTTATCTGAGTTCCTTGCATATGATGGCCTCAGCCTCCCCCGCCTCGGCCTCCGCGCGCCTTCGTCCCCCCTTGCTCCGGACGCCTTTCACGGACGCCTTTCGGTCAGTTCTACGTCTGGTACACTCTTGCCCTGGCAGCAGCTTCACTCGTGTGTGGTTCGTCTTTCCCCCCGTTGCTCCCGCCTCAGGCCCGACGTGAGTGGGTAGACCGGGACATGATCGTGCCCCTGGAGGGCCCCAAGCCCTCCGCCGCCGGGGGGGGAGCCGGCAGGGGCTTGGGGTTCAGCCGCCCGGAGAGCGGGGACGACTACTACGCGATCTTGCAGGTGAGCACGCGCGCGTGTGTGTATGTGCGTGTATGTGTGTGTGCGTGTATGTATGTATGTGCGTGCATGTGTGTGCGGGTATGTATGTGTGTGTGCGTGTGTACGTGTGTACGTATGTGCAGTGGTGACGTGCATGGTAGGGGACGTGAAAAGGGCTGGGAGAGGAAGGGAACTGTTTGTCAGGGTAACGGAACTGGGGTGGGGGGAGGGGGAGAGATTTGCCAGCCTACCACCCAGCCTGCCCCTGTTTCCCCTTCCCCCTTCCCGCATGCAGGTTCCCCATGACGCCTCCAGCGACCAGATCAAGAAGCAGTACTACATGTTGGCGCGGAAGTACCACCCCGACAAGAACCCGGGGGATGCAGGGGCACATGAGCGCTTCCAAAAACTGGGGGAGGCATACCAGGTACTGTGCGGTACTGTACGGTACTGTACGGTAAATGGTAGCTCTTAAGCTATAGCTATCCTTAATGATTTCTGCTAAAGCTTGGCTTAAGTTACCCTCGGTGTGTGTGGGGGGTGTAACGACCCGGGTTGCCGGGGGGAGAGGAGAAATTACCAAAGTACTCCTCCGTAGCCGCTGTTTTAAAGTCAACTGTTCCTTACAACGTGTTCGCCTCTTGAGACGTTTTCCGTCTGCTGTGTTGTGTACTTGTGTACTTGTGTACGGTCCCCCGCTAATGCCCAAGTATGAACCCATTTCCGTACTCCCCAGTTGAGCCCCGCCCATTTTCATTTCCCATCGCGGGGATCCTCCCCTCCACACACACACACGTACACACACGTACACACGCGTCCACACACAACACGCATGCACACGCACGTCGCCCTTCCCTCCCCCCCTCCTCCCCGGGAAGGTTCTTGGCAATGACGAGTTCCGCAAGCGTTACGACGCGCACGGCACCGAGGGCTTGGATGTAAACTTCATGGACGGCGGGTCGTTCTTCAACATGCTGTTCGGGTCGGACCAATTCGAGCACCTGGTCGGGGAGCTGTTCATAGCCATGGCGGCGAGGTGAGGTGGCAGGAGGTGGAGAGAAGTTGGGGGGGCAGAAGGGAGGGCAAGGGGGGGAGCAGAAGGGAGGGCAAGGGACGGCAGAGGGAGTGAGTTATGTGGGCATGAGGGAAGGTGTGTGTGTGTGTGTGGATGGTGCCTTGCGGAATGGTGATCCTTAGGGGAGCGGACGGAACGTGGTGGGCTGGGGTGGGGTGGGGTGCTGTGGGCCGGGTTGGGTCGTGGGTTGCGTGTCGCGTGGTGTGTGTTCACACAGAGAGACTTAACTACCACCCTCACCACCTTCTCTCCCTTTTTGCCGCCCACTTTCCCGCTTTCCCCCCTTTCTTCCTCCCCCCCCTGGCCCTGGCAGCACCTTCACTCGTTCGTGGTTCGTCTTTCCCCCCCTCTCTCTCTCCTCCTCTCCCTCTCTCCCTCTCGCATCAGGAACGCCGGCGAGCTGGGCAGTGCGGAGATGGCTCGGGAGCAGGGCATCCGGGTGCAGAAGCTGTGTGTCAACCTGAAGGCCATGCTCAAGCGGTACGAGGAGGGAGAGGAGGCGTTTGTGGTAAGACAGAGGCGGGGAGGGAGAGAGGCGGGAGGGAGGGGGGTAAGACGAACCACTGGCGAATGAAAGCGAGGGGAGGGGGAAGGGGAAGGGGAAGGGGAGGGGGGGGGGGAAATAGAATAGAGACAGAGGGTGGGGGTGGGGGAAATCATGTAAGGGGTTGAAGTGAGCGGGAGAGCGTTAGCTGGCCGCACCGCGGTGTGCCCCCTGCGCTTGTCTGCACGGCGGATCGCAGCTGCGCCTTGCGCAATCTATAATTCATCCGGCCAGTCGCATGTTGCATTTCCTGCGTGCGCGCGCGCGTGTGTGTGTGTGTGTGTGTGTGTGCGCACGCGTCCGTGCTCTCCGAGGTGAGGAACCGTCCATTTACTTCTTATCCTCCCCGTTGCGCTTCCCTCCCACCCCTCAACCCAATCCAACCCAACCCACATGCACACTTTACTCCCCACGCCGCCGGGCAGGCAGCCATGCGGGAGGAGGCTGCCCGGCTGGTGAGGGCCTCGTTCGGGGAGACCATGTTGCGCACCATCGGCAAGGTGTACGACACACAGGCGGACATCAACGCCGGGGGATTCTTCAGCGGCATGGCGGCCAAATTCCGGTCGCATGGGGAAAACATGAGGTGAGGTGTCGGTGGTGAGGCTGTCGGCGTCGCGGGGAGCGGGGAGTGAGGAGTGAGGAGCAGCCTCTGTGATGGTGGTGGTGCTGGTGGTGCTGGTGGTGCTGGTGGTGGTGCTGGTGGTGCTGGTGGTGGTGCTGGTGGTGGTGGTGGTGGTGGTGGTGGTGGTGGTGGTGGTGGTGGTGGTGGTGGTGGTGGTGGTGGTGGACATGGCTGTTTCATGGGATGGGGGGTCCTCAAAGGGGGTAAGACGAACCACGGGCGACTGGAGCAGATACCAGAACTAAACGGGCTGTCCCTGCTATGGGGGCGGGGTCAGTTTGAGTGGGGATGGTTGGGTGATGGCGTGTGGGAAGGGAAGGGAAGGAGGGGGCGTGGAGAGGTCGTCTGTGGCAGGAGTGGTCTGTGGGTCATGGCAGTGGGGACAGAAGGGACAGAGGCGGGTAGGTAGGTGAGAGGGTTGTGGGCGGCATGCTGGGGAACGGTGTACACACAGGGCAAGGCAAGCCGGTCGCTTGCATGGAATATCTCCACCTCGCCCTGTTGGCGGCTTTGGGGACTACTCCCCTTCAGCAGCGCGATGGGGACTTTACTGAACGGCAGTCGGCAGTTGATATCTTCTTGATTGATAGGTACTGCACCACCATGCAGTAAAGAAAATCTCCTCCCCTCTCCTAGTAACAGTAATCCCCCTCTCCTCCGAGTGCAGGTCACAATTCCAAGCGGCCAGCGCCGCCATCAAGGTGTACCAGGCTCAGCAGAAGATCGAGGCCTGGCAGAAGCAACAAGATCGGAAAGCCGCTGCCGCGTCAGCAGCAACCGCAGCAACTGCAGCAACAGCAGCAGCTGTGGACAGTGCCGCGGCCGCCGCCGCGGCTCCGGTTGCTTCGAGCACGGAGGCAGTCGGCGCAACTGGGCCTCCCACCACCTCTGCCCAGTCGACCGTGAGTCCGCCTGGGAGGTTTGGAGACTGAAGAGTACATGTCGTACGCGTCCGATTGCTGTCTCAGCGCCTTTCTTGTGCCTCTTCCCGGGCTCCTGCACCGGGAACGCATGACTCTTAATTAAGGCTCGTATTTTAAGGATCGTGTATATACATATATATAGAGAGACACATATTCAGGCGCGTCAGCAGATTTTCCTTTAAGGTTTGCTTGGTCATGTATGATTCCGTCCGCCTTTGCTCTTTCTTCCGCCTCGTGAGGCCGGCGCATATATCCGTGTTGATGTTGGTGTTGGTGTTTGCGGCTGCCCTGACCACATCCAGGCTAATGGCAGCGCCGCGGACGCCGCGACCGCGGACGGCCCCACGGCGGGTGCAACTGCCGACGGCACCTCCCCCACCACCGGCGGCTCCAGCACAGCAGCTACAGCTCCTCCTGCTGCTGGGCCTACCATGGAGCAGCTGATGGAGCGGCAGAAGCTGGAGGAGGCTGCGTTGCCGCTGATGCTGGAGGCGATGTGGGCCGCGAATGTGCTGGACATTCAAAACACGCTGAAAAAGGTGCACGGGGGAAAGGGACACAGACGCAGCTCCTCCTGGATGCGTGCTCGGAGCGCGCTTTTGTGGTGGCTCCCTGCCTGCCCAGGAAAAGGAGAGCCATTCCTACATTTTACAAGCTTTAAAAATCATCCCCCCTTTCACCGACCATGTCCTTTCTACCACCCCCTATATACCTCAACAATCCCGCAGGTTTGCCAGTTCGTGTTGACGGAGGAGGGTGTTCAGAAGCAGGAGCTGCAGCAGCGGGCGAATGCGCTCAAGGTCCTAGGTGGGTGGGTGGCAGTGGGTGCGGGGACCGAGAACCAGGTGGAGCGCTGGGGCTGGGAAGACGTGGGTTTACCCCGATACCTTGTTCTTTTCTCTCTCTCTCTCTGTGCGTGTGTGTGTCGTGCGCGCGCGAGTGCGGATTTCCGAAATGCATGTTAGCTAACGTGCCCGACGGCGCAATGTGCCCGACGGTCCCAGCAAACACGGATATGGTTGTGGTATGGATATGGGTATGGTTGTGGGTTGTGGGTATGGACTTCATTTGGTTGCGGGGGGGTGTTTGGGTTTTCTCGAATGGCCATGGGAGGGTTTTGCGAGCCATTGAACTTCCCAGGGCCTTTGGTGGCCTGGTTAGGGTTGGGGACAACACCCGCCATAGCTCAATCGGGCCCTCCGTAACCCTAATTCATTACTTGGCGGTATACACCACGTGCACGCTCCCAGTCTGAAGTGCCACACAGCGGCGCGCGCGGGGGGGCCGCGTAGCGCAGCCTCTCTCTTTCCAGCGACTCCCTCAGCCGCTCTTTTTCCTGCCACATGCCATTATGGCAAAGGTTCTTTTGCTGCAGGACGTTGGTTTGTCAGTGCCCCTTGCACTTGAAGTTTTTGAAGTACGGAGCCGTGTAGTCGTCTTCTCGTTACCCCTCCTTCGTACAATAACACGACGCGGCATGGCACTACGTGGATTTGCCTAAAATCTTCTAGCGTGCCGTGCTGTTGTCGTTCATCCTTTTCCTCTCATCTCCTAATGCCCCGAATCTCCGTCTGCAAAACTGCGCATCCTGACGGCCAGGCGGTATTTTCATGGAGGCCAAGGCGCCCGAGGCCGCGATTCAGACAGACGCGCGGAAGCAGATGGAGGAGGCGATGTTGAGGGTGGTGGAGAAGCGGGCGGCGCAGGAGGGAGGTGCGGCAGCGCAGGAGGCGGGGGCGGACCAATGAGCGGCTGAATGAAGGACGCGCGGCGAGCACGCAAACCGCCACGCTGTGTTAGTGATATATACACACCCGCGCGCGCGCACACGCGCGGGTGCGGCGCCGTTGCTCGTGCGCGCCCTCCAGGGCAGGGGCGATGGTGGGACGGACCCTGGAGTGTAGTAGTTAAATCAATGGAGGCTTAGACTGTCCTTAGCTTTGTGAGCTAGCTCTTGCACGCTTCAACATCAGAATTGCCGCATTGAGCATCTTTATTATGCTTTTTCAGTTGAGGGCGAGGAGTAGGGCGAGGGTCTGTTTTTGCGTTGCTTGTATGTATGGCAGGCGCACGATAGAGACGGGGTATTTAGTATACAGCTTTTTTGCCGGTTCGGGCACAATCATTTCATGTTGTGCGGATGAGGAGTGGGCAGGGCTGTGGTGGTGGTGGTGGGGTTCTTAGAGGTGGAGGTGAAGGCGGAGGCGGGCACAAGAAGCTGTCAGGAGGAGTCGGAGTGGGACAGGTTGTAGAGGTTGAGGGGGGAGGATGGGGGGAAGCAGGCGGCTGCGTCGCGAACACAAGCGAGTCACGCGGCGTGTGTGTTTTTCTGGGGAGTCAAGAGCTGTAGGCGGCGGGCGGGATGGTGAGTGATGGGGCGGAAGGCTCTGGGATCAATCCGCTTGGCAGCGCTTGTGTGCAAGCAGCACGCAACTGCAATACGGTCTCCGAATATGTATGTATGTATGTCTTCTGTCTGTCTTCTTGGGGCCGCAGGAGGCGGCGCAGTATGTGCGATTTTATTTCTCGTACTGCTTTCTCTTTTGTAGCGGCGTGTCAATACATTATAGCTTTTTGTTATCAGCACTCTTCAGCGTTTTTTCGCTCCGTGGTCGGGTGGGTATGGTTTTGGAGCTTTGGAGTGAGCACACACGTGTCATTTAACAAGCGTGAGTATATCGCCCCCCAGGAATGGCGGAGGCGGTCTCCGGCGGTTTGTTTGCGGCTTTTTTTTGCGATTTTGGAATGTCGGTAAAACTGTTTAGGGAGTTATTTTGAGCCACGCCTCCATCCACATCTGTGATGATGGGTGCATGCGGCCATCGAGTAGTAGTAGTAGTAGTTAGTGTGGTGTATTGTAGCGGGGTGGCTGGGCAGGGGGGGATCCGCCGTCCCTTCTCGATCGAGGTTTAGGATTTTTGTGGGTGTGACGGGGCATTATTTGCGAATAGCAATGGTGAAAAGTTGAGTAGTGGCGATTAACTTAGGGTTTGAACTGCACACAGGCGACGATCAACGGAATGTGAAGATGCAGGGTGATATTTGAGACGTGGACGAGCATAATATGTATTTGCGTGTGAGCCTGGGCTGTTGCTGGTGGAGGTGGAGGTGGCTTTTGTACAACGTTTGTGTCAAACATTGTTTATAAGC